GAGTGTAAGATATATCTAATTACCCAAAATCTTACCAGTCAAACAACCTCGAATAGACAATTTTAGCCAAAGCATCTCTACTGACAGCTGCAGACTCTGGATCCAGCCACTTTGTGATCGTTTCATCACGAGTTACAATCACACGTTTGCAAAGAGAATCTTCTAGTAGCTTCACATCACACCTAATGAAACATATGATTCGAGAATTGAATTTTCTAAAGTTATCAAAATATATAGCCACAGTAGAGAATTGTCCTACAAATGTAACATGTCAAATGCACCTACATGAGAAGCTCAGCAGCAGTTTTTAGGTGGAACCATGATTTTTCATCTTTTGGCGTAGACGAGTCTATTTCCTTCCCCTTTGCAAATTCAATGTTTCCAAGATGAAGGATTGCAGCCACAACTCGAAATATTCCATCCTGAAAGGGAATATAGAAAGAAAACAAAGAAAAATTTAAGTAAAAACTTTGTTTGGTGCATTCTACCTATCACTTAAGCCAACTCCAACAATTTACCTGCTCATCAGAACTAATTCCAACAATCTCCATTGCCCTCCTCGTGTCAATGTATTCCTTGGCATCATCAACACCATCCAACTCATAGCAATTTGACTGATTCAAGTAGTGAAACGTTCTTGGATGTCCTAATTTGTATTTTTTTATGTCCTGCAAAAACGAATATTAATTAATAGGAGATCTTCCAACGAGGCATTTCTGTCCGGTTTCTCACAATCATGAAAAAGATCATTGCTTCCAAACCAAAGACAAGAAATATCAAGATATTAGTACAAAAATGTTCAGCGTGTGTGGTTCCCAACTCTTTTAATGAAGCAAAAAAGATGAAACAATCCTATTACCTCTGGTGGTGCGGCACAAAGCATGTAGAAACAATGATAGTTTCTCTCAGGATCAGAAACCTGACAAACACGCGATCTTTCGAGCAAATAAGTTCTTACAGCAGCTCCTGAGATTCTCCCGCTCTGATCAAATTGAATCTCCACGAATTTACCAAAACGACTGCAACAAAACATGCAAAGGGAAATATAGGAAAAATATGCAATCAAACATATAGAAAGACACAAAATTCATAATAAACGCGAAAGGAAGCCTCTAGATTCAGATTCTCCCACCTTGAGTTATTGTTTCTAACGGTCTTTGCATTACCAAATGCTTCTAGAACAGGATTCGACTGCAAAGCAGAAAAACAAGAGCAAAGGTTCAAGAGACAAATAGAAGCAATTACTGGCAAAAAGAAATTTTCATGCCAGTTCATTGCACAAATGAGAATCTGAAGAGTTCGTACCTCCAGAACTTGCTGTTCAACAGTCCTGCCCTCAACAGCAGCTCTCCCTCCCATGTAAGCAAGGTAACGCATGAGCAATTTTGTGCTTTCTGTTTTACCGGCTCCACTTTCGCCACTCACCAGTATCGACTGGCTTACTCCCTCATTCATCATCAGTCTGCAACCACATATATGAATTTTACACATAAACAAAAAATAATAATAATAAAATAAAAAAATGTATACACGACGAAGATAGAAGCACAAATGTTAAAAGTCAAAGATACCTGTATGCAGCATCTGCAACAGCAAACGGATGCGGACTGAGCTCACCAAAGGCTGCGCCTTTATATTGTGCCATCATATGGCTATCATAGAGGTGAGGTAGCTTACAAAAAGGGTTCACAGCAATCAAAATATTCCCTGTATAAGTCTGAGCACATAATGTAATGAGAAAAGCGCAAATGTGAACAGGCGTGAGAAAGAAAAATTCCATAAAACATCTATCAATATGTCATGAATTGACCAAAACCCCATAACCCCTAAGCCGAACAAGCAAAGAAAAAAATTATGCAATATTTGCTACAATTGAATACTTACATATATCTCATTGATATCATATCTTGATCTTAAATTGTCTAAGACTCCTGGCTCATGCAAATAAGCCAGTTTTGTCATATCATCCACTCCACAGGGTGGGGCTTCTGCATCTTTAGGATAGACATTTGAAGCTTTAACAACAACCTGAAATTTTCCGACAAAAGTAGAGGAGGAAAGAGAATCAGTTAATCCCCCAATTCTAATCTGTAAAAATATGCTGTAGTAGTAATCTCATATGGAAAATAAATAAATGGCTAATGGAGGAAAGAGATCTTAGTGAGCAAGATATGCATAATTAAAAAAAAAATGCCACAAAGCAAATAGTATAGAAAGCACGCACCGTCTCCCCTGAAGTGCAGAGGACCTTAATGTCTTGATCCTTAATCTCCACAACTTCACCATCTATCCAAGCTACATCAGGATCTTCTATCCAAACAAGAGATCCAACCACAGGGCTGAAGGCACCAGCCTGAAAAGCAAATACCAAGAGTTGAAAATACCAAATAGGTTTGTATTATAATTTATAATTGCATGCTTAAGAGAAGTATTGTGCCACCAAGGAGCAAACTAAATGTGGGTAATATCTATTGACCAAAATTTAACGATGCACATATTTTCCACAAATAATATCAAGTGGTGAAACGAATAGTAAAATTGGAGCAAGAAAGCCAAAATCACAGAAGCAAAGAGTAGAAAGGTTCTCCCTCTATACTCAAGAACATGTATCTTGGTTACACTTTCTGACATAAATGGCAATAAATCGCAATAGAAATAAGGAAGAGAGAGAGAATACAATTGGACTTAGGTTTCCTCGAAATGGAATATGCCGGCTACTAAGGAATTTTCTTTCTATTTCAAAAACTCAAATTGACAAATAATAGTTTAGGGCTGCACAAATTTACTAGTTTCACACAGATTAAGGGTCTAAATTGGTCCAGAAGATCGAAGATAGCTCGATATTACATTTTCAAAAATAAGATTACAGTCAAATTATTCATCTGGATCAAGGATTAAAATTTAAGAAGTTGCAAGTCAATTTCAAATTCATCCATACACCAACCAACCATGCTATTATAAATTTCAATCACAAGGCTCTGTCTGGGTTATTAAGCAGTTCATATGACTTCGCTAAACAAATACTAAAAGAAAATAAAATAAAATAAAAGTGCTATCGTATCAAGGATATCCCCAAGTTTACATAGGTTTGCCACATGGTTTATAGGTCACAGGTAAAGCTACGGCAGACTAAAGTACTGTAATATACAAAATATTCCTACGCAATTTACTAAAAACCAAAATGGGCAGCGCTAAAATTAGTAGAAGTAAACAACTCTGAATGTGATCAACACAAAATCGAAAAAACAGTATAGAAAAACAAATCAGTTTGAGCAGATATTTCTAATTCGCAGTGCTGGTTCAACTTAAGCATAGATCAGTGTATTCACGCGATGAACTAATAACAACCCATTAAATATATACGCATTAGTATAATCATGATAACCCAAAATAAGATATAAACTAAAGAAGAAAAGTCATCAACAAAAAAAAAAAAAGAAATACCATGTCCACGGAAATTTATCAGATCAGAAACTGGGTTTGCCTTCGGATCTACTTCTTCATAATCTTCCGATTACGATCTTCCAAATTTAGCAGCAGAATCTTCTGAACTTGCCCAAGTCTCACGACTAAAATTATGATTCCAAAAAAAATTACTTAAAAATAATGAAAAAGAATTTGATCATGAACAGAGAAGCTTAAACTCTTCAACAATCCGAAAATTTTTGAAGAAGAGATTAAGCCTCTCTCTCGCTCTGCCTCGGAAGCAGATTTGATTTTTTCTTTAGTAAATTTCGTCGTTTTGATTTGTTCTCTATTATATCGTTTCTCTCTTCCCTCGCACCGTCAAAGGGATTTCTTTGTCTGAAGAAGTTATTTTGTTAGTTAATTGTTTGCTTATGGAAGTTAATTAAGGAAAACCAAAACGTCAAGAATTTGTGTGGGCCGATATACCGAAACTGCCCTTTGACATCAACGCAAATTGCGGAAACTTTTTAATGACAACTCAGACGCGGTCAGATCGCAAAGTTGTCTTGAATCTTTTAACTCAAATCTCGGATGGCGGTGAACTACCTACACGTGAACATGATTTTAGAATTAAAATTATGGAAGTTGATTTAACTGATTTGAATTTAAAATTTAAATTTTATTACAGTAAAAAAATTTTAAAAATAATTATATTTAATTTTTTTATTACAGTAAAAATTTTTTACATAAAGTCACATTTTAATTTAAATTAAAAACTCGAATCAATAAAATATGATTCATAATTTTGAGTTTAAATTATGATTTTAAAATTATAATTTAAAATTAAAGATTTGAATCAGTTTGAATTAAGAAATTAGTGGTTTTAGAATAATGAATAATTCTGATTTAAAATATCACATAATATTCAGAAACATCTAAATCAAACACTAATTTTGAATCATAATCAAAATCATGATTCTGAATCACTGTAAATAAATACTGATTCTGAATCAAGATTCAAAATCATGATTTTAAATCCATCTACCAAACACTCCCTTAATTTCTACAAAGGAAGAGTTCATGTAATGTGTACAATCGTTCATTTTAAGGGGGTGTTTGGTATAAAAATTCGTGTCATGGTTCAAATCATAATTCGTGCCACGTTACAGTGTTTTTTCTAAAAAAATACACGTAAATTGAAAATAATTTTGAATCTATGAACCAAACGTCTACTAAATTTTCGTCATTGATTTTGGATACCTAAAATGTTTCGTTACATTCAAATATAATTTTGTTGCATTCTAAAAAATTTCAAATATAACTTTGTTGGGTTGTCATATATATTGCTTTCATCAGATTCACTTTTGGGACATGGATCCGTACTTTTTGTATGTAATGTAATATGCAGTTTGGTGTTACAAATTTTCAACTACAGAAATTTGAAGTTAAATTAAAGAACGTTAATAACACCTTATTAGAGAAGGATTCCAATATAAATTAAAGAGTACTGTAACAAAAAAAAATGAAAAATGAAATTTACGCTGTCAGGACTCGGGATAAAGCTGAGAAAGTGACAATATTGTCGTTAATTGTCGAAAGTCGACATAAGAAAGAAGGAAAAAAAAAAAAAGTAAAAACGGCATTTGAGGCAGTGTTAAAATGAAATGCTAAAGAATATTTAACTTGCGTAATATCTGAGGAAAAAGGTACAAAGAGAAGATGGAAGTAGTTAATAAAAACAAACGGTCATAAACTTGGAAAACAAGAATGCCAATCGTGGCAAAATATCATAAGTCATAAATGTATAAAGCCTACAAAAGCAGGAACGATTGTTGGTGCCCATATCTAAATTTAATAATTGAGCTTTTATATGCATATACATATATGATATAATTCCCTTTCATGTTGTGATGAGAATTTTTCTATTAATGTACTTCAAAAAAATAATTCCTTAACTAATATTTTGATTAAAAAAATATTTCTCAATGAATAAAAATTTTCCAATAAAATAAATTGTTTGATATTTTTTTTTTTGTTTTCTGAAAAAATATATTATTTACTTTCTTTATATATAATATAATGATTAATTATTCCCTAAAAAAATTAATGACCTAGCTCTCCGTAATTCATGTTTTCCTTTATATATGTGTGTAGCTAAAATGTGTTTTAAATTCCCTGCAAGGGTTGTGCAGAGGAGATTGCAAAACCCCAAAGTTCAAATCAATCCAACAGTTTTTAAACTACGTTAAAAACAACTTAGTCTAACAAATCTGACAATTTAAGGCCTCATTTATTTCACCAATTTGAGTTTTACTACAATAAAAAGCTCTTAAAAACAGTCACATTTAACTTTTTTACCGCAGTAAAAAGCTCTCACATAAAATCACATTTCAACTCGAATTAAAAACTCGAATCAGTAAACTAAACGGGCCTAACGAGATTGTTCATACCCGTACTATACTTCATTTTTTTGTAACATACATATGAATACAACATGTATGTATATTATAATGAAACGTCGTACAAAATTATGGTATAGTCTTTTAGTTGACATTTTTATTGAGGTGTACCGTGTTGAAAAAGCGCGATGTGTTTAAGTTAAGTCCGAGAGTAATCACAGCAAATAGTAAAAAATTCCATTTTTTAAGATAAATTTTAGTACTAATGATAAGGTATTTATGTCGCATTATTGACTCTCACAAAAATCAGTATTAAAATGATTTTTTTTTGTAAAATTTAGGACTTGACATGGTATTCCTAACAATATAGGCTAGGAATTGAGATTATGGAGTTATTAAATTAAACACGAGTAGAGTAGCCAGGCATAACTAACTGGTTCAATAACTTAAAGCGCCAGATTTTGAAGTTTTGAATGAAGAAGATTAGTTTCATCAGTCTTGACGGCTTGTTTAATTCGCTGATTTTAGTTTTTAATTTGAGTTAAGATATAACTTTATGTGATAACTTTTTATTATAATAAAACAGTTAGTTGTTATTGTTTTTTAAAATTTTTTACTGTAATAAAACTCAAATTCTAAATTTGAATAAGTAAAATAAAGAGGGCTTTAAAAGTTAAAACTACTAGTCTACTAACGACTTTTTTAATCTAAAGTTTACTAACGACTTAATCAGTAAGGAACTACTATCTTCTTTAAATAATTGCTCGTATATTGTTCATGCCTTTGCCACATATTATTTTTGGTGGCTATTGGATAAACATGACTTTACCAAATTACCACGATGGAAAAGACATGAATGTGCCGACCCCTCATATGGCATCGTTTGAAAATTATATATTGATTTTTTTTTTTCGTTTTTTTTCCTTCGTAAAGAAGAGAAAGAGATAAGTGGGAAATTATTAGAGCAGATAATTATTAATATTAGCTACTGACCCCCAAAGTGTTAGTAAACACACAAACATCTTTTATTCAAGTTGGAAACAAACCAACACATGAGAAATCCAATTTAAAGTGTTATGGTTATTGGTTCTGTTATAGTATTTTTTTTTTATAAAAAATTTAAATTTTAAAAATCAGAATCATAAATCATAATTTTAAATTCATAAACCAAACGTCATCTAAAGTGCTTAATCCGTATGTGTATGTATGTATTTTTATGGGAGTATGTATATTTGTAATTGAAGACTATTTGTTAGCCCTTTAAAGCAGATGTAAAGACTGAAAGTTGGAGTAATCTAAAATATTTTATTGACAATTTTGTATGATTTGAGGAAATGCGCTACATGCACAATTTGTCGTATAAACATTAATGATGAGAGGTCATTTATGAGACGTTTGGTTCATGGATTAGAATCATGAAATTAGAATCATTTTCGATTTATGTGTATTTTTTATGAGAGAAAATACTGTAGCGAATCATAAACCATGATTCGAATCAGGGTACGAATAAACTGCTAAAAATAGCAAATGAGATCCTAATTTCTTTCATCACTTCATTTTGCCAAGGTTAGCTTTAAAAAATGAAACATTTGCTGTGTTTGGAATTGTTCGTATTTTTGTTTTTCACGTTTTTTGAGAAAAAAACAAAAAATGATTTTAAAACGACATTTGACACAGTTAAAGATAAAAAAACAAAAATAAAAATGATTTTTTAGTTTAATGTAAAATATGAAAGAAATGAAAAATGACTTTTAGTCGTTTTTTATTTTTTATTTTCATTTTCTTCTCTCTCGAGCAGAGAGAAACATTAATAGATTTATTTATACTAAAAATAATCTCTTGATAAAGTTACTAAACACATTTTAAAAAATAATTTTTGTCTAAAATTAAAAACGTTTTTATTTCTATTTTTATATAAAAAATAAAATTATTTTAAAACGAATTCTAAACACATCTATTTTAATTAGATCAACCAATACTATGTCAGTGTAGGTGAGAAAAACATAATTATGATTTATTTCTAATGTGGGAGTGTATTTGAAATTGAACGCGGGAGACAGTCTACGTGGCTTAGGCATTCATGAGACCTCATCATTGGGTGTGTCTACAACTCCACGTATTCGTAAGGGTTTCTCAAAGTAAAGGCCTAAACAAGTATTGCTTGAGATGGATTATCGAGTATGATTATTGGTGTTGTTTAATAAAATTAATTGTATTTTTTCTATTAGTTGCAACTTTGAAAAACTCCCATGTTAATTTTCCTTAGCTAGAAGTTTACAGTGACGCCATTTTTAAGTATAGATGTTTGTATTGTCAGCATTTTTTCAGGTTTTTAGTACATTTGTCACATAAATTTGTCGTGATTTACTAAATTATTTATTAAACTTTTAATTTTGATAAGTCGCTTCCTCAACTTATAAAGTTGTTATAATATGTATTATTTTGATGATGATTGTGTTAAATTAGTGTCAAAAAAGCACGTTTTAACATTTCAATTCACATGTAATATAAATATTTCAATATCTAAATTTTTAATCCTTTAAATCTAATAAAAATTTTGAACAAATTTAACTAAATGAGGTACATTATAACAACTTTATAAATTCGGGTTTAATTGTATTAAAAACCTTATTTTCATTAGACAAACTAGGATGAACGTCAACATAGTTTGAAAATTTATTTAGCCAATTAAAAAATAGAAATCACATGCTAAAGATGTTACCAGATAAAAGGAAACCAATAACAGAATGCCACGTGTTCAGAAGAATATTCAGAAACCGCCTTTTATTGTGCTTTTCTTTGGTTCAGACATTGTTGGCTCTTTATGATTGGGCCTAGTAGACCTCACAGAATTTCAGGGTGGTCAGGAGCCTAAGACGGCTACGACGCTCCTTCAAAACGCGAATGAAAGACACGCGAGTAATTAGTTTCATATCAGCT